CTAAGCACATATATCTGTAATTTAACATTTGGTTTAAGACGGCTACCATTAACCTGAATTTTTTCTTTCTACCTGGCAGAAAAATCATCCAAAGCCTGGTCAGTACTATGGAGGAGCTATCAGACACGCATATCTTCCTGACAACAAAGAGGGAAATGAAGTTCTGCTTCTCCTGAAAAAAGCTTTTGACCAGAAGCTGATTTTCACTGTTGGAGCTTCCAGGACAAGTGGGGCCGATAATGTGGTGACCTGGAATGACATCCACCACAAGACGTCCCCGACAGGAGGACCAGAGTGGTACGGATCTCTAATTTAACACCTTTGTATTCACTGTGCTGCAGCTTTTTGTTTCATGTATTAAACCGTTTATATTTTCTGCTTTCACAGTTACGGGTATCCAGATGAGAAATACCTGAGCAGAGTTAAGGAGGAGCTGAAGGCCAAAGGCATTGAGTGAAGTTTTTGTTTTACATTTAGTGAAACTTTAGTTCAAAAATCTGACAAATTGAATTTCCACATTTTGTTCCATCATGTTAGATATTTTATAATAAATGAAACTTAATGGTTACTTTGAAGTTCACTGAAAGCTGAAGACTTTCTATCAAAATATAACTAAACAAATCAGTGTGAAAGATTTACCTACTTGTTTATTTTTTCTTTACATTTATCATGTGAACCACAGGTGTAATTTATAACTGTAATAAAATGTAATATGATTATTGGGTTGGGTTTTTCTCACATTCAACAGAATTTGCTTTATTTATTTAAAGCGGACATTTAACATGGTTCAACCTGAGAACCTTGGTTGTAAATGGTGCACAAATGTTGATGGTTATGTTGTGTTTTTGTTCAATTACAAATGTTTCATTATGGAAGCCAAAAAACAGACATGAAAGAAAATGGAAGTTCAGCAGAACAAAAAAGTAGTGTAATAATCATGTCGTTTATCTGAAGCTGATCTGTCAGGCGCTGTGCTGGTGAAGAGAGAGCTGAGTCAAAAAGCGAAGCTCTCGATTCTATGGTCATAACTTTCATTAGCTACCGAACTTCAAACTGCATGTCATTCAGATGAGGTAAACAATTCATAAAGAGCTTCATGGTTTTCCATCACCAAGCAGCTCCATCTAAGTCCCACATCACTAAATGTAAGGCAAAGTTTTGGATGTAGAAGTGTAAAGAGAACAAGTATGTCTCTTTCTGGTAATCAGTAAGAGGTTGTTCTTCAGTTCTTCATACATCCATCCATCCATCCATTTTCTGCTGCTTATCCGGGGTCGGGTTGCAGGAGCAGCAGTTCAGAAGGGAGGCCCAGGTTTTCCTCTCCCCAGCCACTTCTTCCAGCTCCTCTGGGGAAACCCCAAGGCGTTCCCAGGCCAGCCGAGAGACATAGTCCCTCCAGCATGTCCTGGGTCTTCCCCAGGGGCTCCTCAGTTGGACGTGCCAGGAACACCTCACCAGGGAGGCGTCCAGGAGGCATCCGTACCAGATGCCGAGCCACCTCAACTGGCTCCTCTCAACGTGGAGGAGCAGTGGCTCTACTCTGAGTCCCTCCCGGATGACCGAGCTTCTCACCCATCTCTATGGGAGAGCCCAGCCACCCTGCGGAGGAAACCCATTTCGGCCGCTTGTATCCGTGATCTCGTTCTTTTAGTTGGTGAGCTGTATGTGCGTTAGAGTCCATTGTCTGTCGGAAATCCATGGCCAGTTTAATATTCTGGTGTTAAAAATCTGTTCTATTGTAAAGAAATAAATACATCCACTGGATGATTTACAGGAAACAAATAGTACTGGTGCCTCTTAATACTGTGTGACTGTAACAAAAAATATTCCAAAAGTAAAATAAAAATAAAAAACAATAACTTATTTTAGGCCCTTTTTAAAAGCAAAGAAAAAAATATCTCAAGCCAAACAAAAGCTCATTCCTTTCAATATATTACAATAAAAGGTTATACCAGCCATCACAACTAAAAATCAGAGATTTATTATTTTCTTGCAAATAAAGTGAGTACCTACAATAATCCTTTACTGGGATTGTTGTAGGTCCAAGTACAGTCTAGCTCTTCTGCTGCTGTGTTTATGTTCTGGATCTCGTTCAGCCAGATTGTTAGAATACCAACGCCCCATGACTGGAAGTGTTTTCAGCTTTTACAGTCATGGTGAATAGTTTTCTGTAATAACTCTTTCTGAAATCTGCTTCCACAGCATTATTTGGTTTCAGTTCTGGGTGGATCTTGCCTGTTCTTATTGCTGTCTCCCGCTGAGACAACACTTTCAATAGTGTCCTGTCAAACCTCCGGGTTATTCTCTCAGCTTAATCTTCTGTAGTGAGCTTTTGTTTTTGTTCTTTTTTTTTTACGTGACTATCCAAAGTTGTGAGGCCTTGCTTGGCAGTCTGGTATCCCCTGAAATGGACAGGTATTGTGTTGGATTTTCTTATTTCATGGCACTTTCTTTGTTGCTCTGTCAGTTCGCTAATTTCTCTTCATGTAACTTTGATCTTAACGTCCGGCCTCCATCTTGATTGGAGATATAGTTTTCTATGACTTCCATTGTGCATTTTGTAAAAAAGCATCTTAAGGAGCAATGCAATGTCATTAGCATGTCTGCATAGCCTTTAACACTGATAATGTTGTTCCCTCTACAATTAATATTTTCTGTTTTTTGAAGGACAAAGACATTTGGAATTTCATCAAAGTTTCAGGACAAAGACCAGGCCAAGGAGGTTGAAACCAATGTATGTTTTATCTCATTTGCCATTGAATGTAGACCAACAAAGTAGTATATTTACATCATCTTTGTTAATGGATTAATGATTTTAATTGTTTTAAAGTTTCCTTCCCCATAGTATAGTGATTCTATTTGAGTTCTTTATCAAAAAGTTAAGAGTTCCACTGAACTAGAAAATTGATCATTTACCATCCATCAGACTTAATAACTGAAAAAACACTGAAGTAGATCCCACTGGACAACATGAAGTAGGCTAAAAGATCTCAAAAAGCAACAGATGATCTAAAGAAAGTGAAGAACAGATGAGAAATGATGTTAAGGCCGATTCTAAGGTGCTGGGACTGCATTGATGCACAGTGAGAGCCATTAGCCACAGATGGAGAAAACATGGGAAGCGACTATAGCAAGGAAAGCAATGAAAATAATATTTTCTTTTAAAAAAAAACATAACTGTGAGTTAAAGGGAAAACCCTGAAGGCTCTGAAAAGGGTAAAAGAGGGAGGAGTTGATTCATAACTTCAACAGAGACGACATTCCCAACTCTCATCCAGTCACCAGCCAGACTGCAAATACTTTAACCATATTCCCAGATGTACTACAATTAAAAGCACCTCAATCTAGAACAGACCTCCCTTTAGTACACGTCCCATAACACAAGGTAAACCAAATCAGTTTACCAATTTATTATTTCCTTATCTAAGGTGTAGTGGAATCAGCTGTGCAATCCTGGCAGCAGGCAGCCAATAGCAGCAAAATAAACTAAGCAAGAGAAGAAATCACTTGTGTAGACACTGCTCCATATTTACTGTTTGTTTTTTATTTTAGAACATGGTCCTCCCTGTCAACCAGAGTAATCCATTCACCTCGACAGCAGAAACCATTCATTCTCAAAAAACTGAAGGTCCAGCTCAAGAAAGTTGTCTTCTGCCTCTGAATCACTTCTGGTACATGAATCACATCTACAAGGAAAGAATTAAACAGATTGAGAGGAAGAATAAAATAAAAATGGTGGCACAGGTCCATGTGACATTTGAAGCTAAGCAGGAAGATGGAAACCCTCATGAAGCTCTCAATGAGTTCATTGATCTGTCACAGAGCTGCTCTGCTGATTCAGGCCAGGCAGTGATTCCTCTCAAGTTTGTAGATCCAGATCAGTGGAGCGACGCGTTAAAAGTCATCAAGAGAAACAAGGACAAGATTTTGCTCACCATGTCATCAGAAGAAGTTATTGTTAGTGGTCCAAAGCAAAGCCAAGATGAATTCAGTGCCGTCCTGAATGCAATGCAGACGACAAACACACCGGCTGAACAGCACAAACCTGCATCAAATGGTACATTACAGAGGAGTATAAACATGACCGCCAAATATCCAGGACTACCAATACGTAACTTCAGTAGTGATCTCCTGGTGAAAAACATGACAATCAAAGATGATCTTGCTGATAAAGGTCTGACCATAGATAAGGACCAGTGGAAAAGCCTGAAGTCTTCTTATGATAACCACCTTGCAGTGATCAAAGCTAAGTTCAATGTGGATTTTAAGGAATCCAGCATCAGTGAGGGCAAAGTTAATGTCCAATCATCATATAAAGGACATGGAGGAAACCCAGCAATGGAGAGCCATGCTGTCAGAGCTCTGCTGCGTCTGTACCAGAATATTAGGGTGTCAACCAGGCACCTTATGGAGCCCAGTGGCACCATAAGGTGCCACCCAGTGGCAACATGGGACAACAAAGAAGACACATGTCCAATATGTTTGTCTGATTTTACTAATAAGAAGCAACTGAAGTGTAAACATGCATTTTGTAAGGAGTGCCTGCAAAGTGCAGTGAAATCATGTGGACCCATCTGTCCAATTTGTAAGGATGTTTTTGGTGTGATGAAGGGAAACCAACCTGATGGAACAATGACTTTTAGTAGAAATCCTTCATCTCTACCTGGATTCCCAAATTGTGGCCAAATATGCATCACCTATCACATTCCAAGTGGAAAACAGACGGTAATGTCTAAGCACATATATCTGTAATTTAACATTTGGTTTAAGACGGCTACCATTAACCTGAATTTTTTCTTTCTACCTGGCAGAAAAATCATCCAAAGCCTGGTCAGTACTATGGAGGAACTACCAGACATGCATATCTTCCTGACAACAAAGAGGGAAATGAAGTTCTGCTTCTCCTGAAAAAAGCTTTTGATCAGAAGCTGATTTTCACTGTTGGGACTTCTAGGACAAGTGGGGCCGATAACATGGTGACCTGGAATGACATCCACCACAAGACGTCCATGACAGGAGGACCAGAGTGGTACGGTTCTCTAATTTAACACCTTTGTATTCACTGTGCTTCAGCTTTTTGTTTCATGTATTAAACCGTTTATATTTTCTGCTTTCACAGTTACGGGTATCCAGATGAGAAATACCTGAGCAGAGTCAAGGAGGAGCTGAAGGCCAAAGGCATTGAGTGAAGTTTTTGTTTTACATTTAGTGAAACTTTAGTTCAAAAATCTGACAAATTGAATTTCCACATTTTGTTCCATCATGTTAGATATTTTATAATAAATGAAACTTAATGGTTACTTTGAAGTTCACTGAAAGCTGAAGACTTTCTATCAAAATATAACTAAACAAATCAGTGTTTTGAAAGATTTACCTGCTTGTTTATTTTTTTCTTTACATTTATTATGTGAATCACAGTGTAATTT